AATGTTTCTTAAAGAAACAATTAATGTTATTATGAGGTTCAAAGAGGTCACTCATCTAGTTTTTTGTTTTTCTAAATGAGCTACTAACATGGAAAACAGCACCATGTCTGATATACATGATAAGTGCTCAATAAATATAGAGGGAGAAAATTTTCTTTTCATTCAAGGTACCTCTTGCTTTAATTATCTTGTGCCTGTCCAAATCTCCTGAAGTGGGCATGCAGATAGGTTTTATGTCATGGGTCCTTACCATATTAAGAGTATTCAATAAGGGTTGGCATTGTAGTATGTGCCTATAATCACAGCACTTGGGAGGTAGAGGCAGGAGGAGTGCAAATTCAAGGCCAGCCTGGACTACATAGCGAGTTCCAGGCCAGCCTGGAAAAGATGGTTTAAAAATTGGTTGAACAAAATTGTGTAAGAAATACCCAGAATAGATGAGAAGTTAGCATGTTAAAATCAGAAGTAAAAAAGCAGCATTGGAAAGGATTAACCTTTAAAATGACTTGAACAGCATAGTATTTAGAGAAAAATATAAACTAAACTAAGAGGAAAAGAATTAACTTACAATATGAGAAATGGTTTATGTTTATAAAAGCAGAATCAAAATCCATTGCAGATTGTGAAATGTAGAGAACTGTATGTAAGAAGTATATCTTAAATGTCAAACTTGCACCAGATTGTCAAGCTGGATGGTGCAAAAAATCTAGCTTCCCAAGTATGTAAGAGTATTTAGTCAGGTTAGTAAACAGTTGTGTGCAAACAGCAACAGAAGCTCAGTCCGTCATAGGAAAAGAACAGTAATTGGATTCTCTTATGAAAATATGAGGTGGTGTTATATTAAGTGTTGATTGTGTTATAGTTTTTGTTGGCTTGTTTTGTGATGTTTTTGTTTTTTCAAAACTCTTCCAAGTGTGCTGTGAACACCAAACCAAGAACTTGGTAAATCCTCCTTTTGTTTTCTCAAGGACAATGATGCAATTAAAAACCTCCAGGGTTACCTTTCAGTGTTTAGAGGACAGACCCCTTCTTGCTTAAAATCCGGTTAGTCTTCAGGAGTCACCTCACCTGAGGAGAATCATTATTATATAATGCCCATTACCTTAAGCTGTAGGTCTAAAATGTTTTTAATATTTAAAAAAAGAAAACTTCAGCCTCTATTCTCTAAGTTGTCTTAATATAAAATAGAAGAACTTTGAGTGTAAACAAAATAATCATGTTGCTATGACTATCAGACTGATGGTGGACAAATAAAATACAAACGGTAGTGAACTGGGCTGTTTAAATAGCTGCTCTGTACAGATAAAGTCTAGTGGGAGTATGTAGGATAGATTGAATTACCAACCCACAAGTGGCTGGCCATTACCCATTTAAATTTGTCTTGTTTTGAAGAGCTACTGGACATCAGAGCAGAGAGCATTCAATCATCATTGTAGCACATGCCTTTTATTAGAATTTAGTATTTATAAGCAAGAACCTGGTCATGAATCCCTCTGAATAGCTTAGGGTCATGTCAACCCTTATAACTTCTCCTTTATAGCTTTGGATTTGTGAAGTCAACAAATTTTAAAGTTTATAATAATGGTCTAGACTTAATGATAACTTGCCTTAGTAATTAGAATGAGATTTTTGGTTCTTTTACAGTGTTATGGTTTGAACTCAGAGCCTCACACTTGTTATGCTCCTGCTATACCTCCCAGGTAACTGGGATCACAGGTGCATGCCACACCTGGTTTATTTTGCTGAGATAGGGTCTCCTTAACTTTTTGCCCATGCTGACCTTAAACCATGATCCTCCTGTCTCCATCACCCGAGTAGCTGGGATTTCAGATGTGAAGGAGCATAGTCCAGTGTTAACAGTCTGAACTCTAGAATCAGACTGCTTAAGTTGGAATACAGTTTCAACCATTTATTAACTGTGTAACCTTGAGTAAGCTATTTAACCAGGGTCCTTATCAGTAACATGGTGATGATAATAAAGATTAAGTAAATTGATAGTGAAAAATATTTAGACCACCACCACATAAAGAGTAAGCACCACAGATTCAGATAAAAATACCAAATAAAGAGGGAGTGTGAAGATTTCCTTGGGCCTGAGACTTTAAGAAACACAAGGCATTTAAAACAGATACAGTTCGCATGTACCAATTTAGCAAAAATTTTTTTTACCAAGTGTGTTATTTGGATAGTCATTTGTCAGTAGCTTATATTTGTATATAGTAGTTCAGAAAAAGGATAAGTCCTGTTTAAGTTGCTTAAAAGATTCTGAGCACATGGACTAATTACAGCATTTAAGTTAACATTCAAGTTTATTATTAGGTCATTGATCATCCAGACAGTAATGTTTCCCAAAGCCATCACTGCCTCTTTACCCACCAACTTAGGAGGGGAAAAACATGAAGAAAACAGCATTTTTTAGGGTCCATCGAGACCCACTCTGCCTCCCCCAGACATTGTCTGGAGCTCTAGTATATGTATAAAACAGATTTTTAAAACTTACTACCCAATTTATTTTAAAATTCAGTTTGAAAACATTTAGTAAGTCTGAACAAGGAGGCCATTTTAATGCACCTAAAAAATAAAATTGCATACTGCTGACATTGTAGTGTTTTCATATAACTTCATTGTCTCCTTTTTTTTTAAATTGTACACCTCTGAGAAAACCCTGATTCATATATAAGTAGTTACAAGTGATAGTAGTTTCTTAACTCAACTTAAATTTCAAGAGTTCTTAAGCCAAATTGCTATAGATGCTTGAATTGAAATTTTTTATATCAAAGTTCAGTTACTATAACATGTTCACATTTATTAAATTATAAGTCATATACATAAGAAGAGCATGTGCTGAGAACTCTATTACTTGAGAAGAAAATTGCTTCTATGACTGTACCTTTCAGGTTTGTAGATCATTTAGACAGATTGGAGGTAGGCAATCATGTATTTCATTCATGGAATACAGGGAAAATTAAGTGAAATAAATCCCTAATATCCTGCTAAATAGTAAATAAATATTAAGGGTGTTTTTAATGTTTAGTAAATAATTGACTTAACAGGATTGAGTTGAGATAAAGATCAGCTATGTATCTATTTATTTATTTATTATTCTTTTATTCACATATGCATACATTGTTTGGGTCATTTCTCCCCCCTGCCCCCACCCTATCTCTCCTCCCCTCCTCCCCTCCTCGCTTCCAGGGAGAACCTGTTCTGCCCTTATCTCTAATTTTGTTGAAAAGAAGACATAAGCATAATAAGAAAGACAAAGCGTTTTTGCTAGTTGAGTTAAGGATAGCTATACAGAGAGATTCCTAGCATTGCTTCTATGTACAAATGTGTTACAACCCAAGTTGATTCATCTCTAACTGATCTTTACACTGGTTCCTGATCCCCTTCTCATATTGCTGTCACTTTAAGGTTTCTGTATTAGTTCCTCTGGAGTGGGGATATCAAACGCTTTCATGTTTTGGGTTTCCTACCTATCCCCATACCTCCTTTGTGTGCTGCCCCCTTGTCATGTGACCCAAGTTCAACAACATTGCTGTATTTGCCCTAGATCTAAAGTCTGCATATGAGGGAGAACATACGATTTTTGGTCTTCTGAGCCTGGCTAACCTCGCTCAGAATGATGTTCTCCAGTTCCATCCATTTACTTGCGAATGATAAGATTTCATTCTTCATGGCTGAGTAAAATTCCATTGTGTATAAATGTATGTTTTTCTTGATCCATTCATCAGTATTGGGGCATCTTGGTTGTTTCCATAACTTGGCTACTGTGAATAGCGCTGCAATAAACATGGGTGTACAGGTGCCTCTGGAGTAACCTGTGTCACATTCCTTTGGGTATATCCCCAGGAGTGGGATTACTGGATCATATGGCAGATCTATGTTTAGATTTTTAAGAAGCCTCCAAATTTTTTTTCCAGAGTGGTTGCACTAGCTTGCATTCCCACCAGCAGTGTACGAGGGTTCCTTTTTCTCCACATCCTCGTCAACACCTGTTGGTGGTGGTGTTTTTGATGATGGCTATTCTAATGGTTGAGGTGGAATCTTAGTGTGGTTTTGATTTGCATTTGCTTTATGGCTAGAGATGGTGAGCATTTTTTCATGTGTTTTTTGCCCATTTGAATTTCTTCTTTTGAGAAAGTTCTATTTAGTTCAGTTGCCCATTTCTTTATTGGTTCATTGATTTGGGGAGAGTTTAGTTTCTTAAGTTCCCTGTATATTCTTGTTATCATTCTCAGCTATGTATTTAAAGTAAAGGCAGCATTCCACATTAAGAGAGAAAACTGGAAGAGCAAAAATTTAGAATACTTGTGTTCAAATCCTATTTGCTACAGTATTGCTGTTTTTAACCTGAGGAATCCCAGCAACCTATTTATAAGTTGTTATGGGAAAGATAAGCATCTAGTACAGGGTAGTGTTTGGAACATAATAGGCTCTAATAAACAGTAGCTATTAAAGAAGCAGCTAAGACCAGAACCAGGTCTACCCTGGTAAGAGGAATAGATGTTGCTAGGTAGTTAAACAAAAAACATCTTTGCTTGGTAGGACTTACCAAAATCCAACTGAATGTACTTTTGGTAGAGTTTCCTAAGGATGTATCATTGTACCAGCTTCTTGGGAGGCAGAGGCAGCAAATTCAAAGTTAGTCTAGGCAGAAGGTAGGGAGAGCCTGTCTCAAAAACAAAAGGGCTAGGGGTGTTGCTCAAGTGGTCTAGCATGCCAGGCCCTGGGATCAATCCCCAGTACTGTGGAGGGTGGGGGAGGCTAATAAGCTGTATCTTTGTATTGTATTCCAATTAATCTTTGCTACATACTTGGTATTTTTCTGTATTTTTTTTCCCTCGACAACTCTGCATTTATTTGGTACCCATTATGCCAGTATTGGATAAACAGTAACTAAGAAAGTAGGCAACCTGAAAACAATAGTTTACTATAGTTTCTAATATAAAATCTTATAGTTTGTGGTAAGGGAGAAGGTTGGAAAATACTGAGTCAAAAGAAAGTTGCATCAAAAACCAGTATATAAAGCCAGGATGATGGTGCACACCTACAATTCCAGCACTCAGAAGGCTGAGGCACAAACAAGGATCACAAGTTTGAAGCCAGCCAGGGCAACTTAGAAAGACCCTGTCTAAACCAAAAAAAAAAAAAAAGTAGCTATAACTGTTGTACCTACTTAACAATTCTTGTTTTCAAGTTATTACATACAACTTTAACTAGTTTCTCCAAACTTAATCATGGCTTCTCCATGTTGAAACTACTTTTGAACAACTCCAAAGCCCAGCCTGAGATATCAGGCTACTTTAAGTTTTGGGCCAAAATAAAAGCATCCTTTCTAATTTGACATGCTAGGGAAGAGGAAACACCTGCGTGGCACAAGTTTAAAGACTGACCTTGTATCTCTTGTAAGAGTTCTTTATATTTGCAGTAACCTAAAATTTGTATAGCTATCTTGTATAAAAACATGTTCATCTAGTAAGCAAACGTCAGATAGTTTAATTTCATGGCATCTTCTAATCTTCTGTGGAAAACAAAAAATATGAAATTAGTTTTATTGAAGCTAACCTATATATATCACATGTCTCTTTTCTTCCTCTTTTTCTGTGTTTTGTTAAGTAGGATAAGTTCTGAACGTCGAAAAGAGAAGTCTAGAGATGCAGCCAGATCTCGGCGAAGCAAGGAGTCTGAAGTGTTTTACGAGCTGGCTCATCAGCTGCCACTTCCACATAATGTGAGCTCACATCTTGATAAGGCTTCTGTTATGAGGCTGACCATCAGTTATTTGCGTGTCAGGAAACTTCTAGATGCTGGTAAGTTGTTCTACAAAGGCATAATAGGCCTGAAATTAGAAGTAATTACAAATTATTTTTTGCAGATGGTCACAATGCTTTGATTTTTTATAACTAATTATGTTGTGATATGTATACTTGAAAATTTTTTTCAATAATCTTTACTATTTTTATCAAGCTTCATTATTTTTCCTAATCAGTTAGTTACTCTTGGAAACAATCCTCTTTGCATTATAAGATATTTTGTTTTATCCTCTTCAGCATACTGTCAGTTCTTCAATATGACATTCTTTTTATTGCCTGGTTTTAAAGTTTCAGAAATTTTTAATGTAGTGGTTTTTCTTTTTTCTTGCTACTCCTATCTTCCTTTTTTCAATGGTTTACCTAGCTGCATTATTTTAAATAATTATGAAAAGAAGCTGACAAACTAATTTTAGTCTTCACCTTTACTCTTCTGTATGTTACAATAAAAATGGGGAATATTTGAAATATACGGGAAAAAATAGATGCTGTAGATATTAAAAAAAAGTATCTAGGAAAATTTCTAAAAACATGTAAATATTACATCATTTAAGTATAACTTTTATTTTCCTTCTCTTATGCCTTTTTTAGGTGATCTGGATATTGAAGATGAAATGAAGGCACAGATGAACTGCTTTTATTTGAAAGCCCTGGATGGCTTTGTTATGGTGCTCACAGATGATGGCGACATGATTTACATTTCTGATAACGTGAACAAATACATGGGCTTAACTCAGGTAAAATGCGTACATGTTAAGAGCCCTTCTGGATGTTTTATGATTTTATGATGTAGATCTAATTTTTTAAAATATGTTTACAGTTTGAACTAACTGGACACAGTGTGTTTGATTTTACTCATCCGTGTGACCATGAGGAAATGAGAGAAATGCTTACACACAGAAATGGTGAGAAGAAAAGTCTATTGTTTGATTTAATGTGACAGGTAGTTTTACTTAATCAGATATTGTTACTAATTTTTAAATTTTGCTACTGTACTAATTTAAGGGAAAACTGTTATTTCACATTTAATAAAATGGTAAGACTATTTGTTAAACCTTACTGTTTTAGGAATTACAGAAGTACCACCTAAATTTTTAAAAAATCCACATAATTTCATAAATAATTAACATACACACACGAGTAGATAAAGTGGAAAAGTAAATAAAAATCAAGATCAAGAGAGTTATATAAGTTAAAATGCAGCATTAAGGCATGAAGAAGTCGTAAGTGACAGGTCAGAGGACTTTTAAAGTTATCAAGGCCAAAGGAAAAATTTTCGGAGCACAGTAACCACTTTGATTTGTCAGGACATTTTAAGTAACTTGAGACTGTTGCTAGACTATAAAGCATTGCATGTATGAGTGCTCACACATTAACGAAAGCAGTAAGACCTGTAATTCGTAGAAATGATTTGTTACAAATAATAAAATATTCCAAGATTTTCTTTAAAGTACCCTTTGAATTATAAAAACTTAACTTTTTTTCACATTTGTGCCTTCTTTTATGACTAAAAGTTACCGCAGTAAAGATTTGTAATTATACTTTGCAGTATCTTTAGCTGTTCTTCAGTTTAAGTGAATAATTCTATATGAAACATCCAAGTTTATAGTACTTTTAGAATAATTTTCATCTCATAATACTAATATCTAACATCTGTTGAGAGGATACTGTTGCTAGGACACTGGTCTCTGCATTTTATAGCCTTTATTTCTCACAACAACCCTGTGAAAGTTACTGTTACAGTTTCAATTTTACTGAAGAAACTGAGGCACAAAGTTACTGAGTAACTTGATTCACATTACTTGGTTAGCAAATGGCATGACCACATAGCTTGGGTTGAACTTGGGTAAGAGCCCATACTTGTTAGCACTTCAAAGGTTTTTTGTTTGTGAGTGTGTATGGGGTTTATGAGTTCTCATTCCATTCTATTGCTTTTTTTTTTTTTACCATCAGTAGGAGTCTTCTCTTGCATTTTAATTTCATGTTGTATTTTTACTGTGAAATTGGAAAGCAAATGCATACTTTTTCGAGTTCTGTATAAAGAATGAGTAAAATACGCACTGAGCAAGGACCTAAGTGGGTTGTCAATGAGTTGGATGTATGTGTCCTGGTGCTTAGACTTGAGGTTTGTATTGACTGCTCAGTGCTTCCCTGAGGCCAAACTGTAAATGGATGGATAGTAAGAAGTCTTGTTTTAATTTGGTGATGATGTTAATTTGTTACTGTAAAGCAGATGTAGTCTGCTTAATATGATTTAAAGTATGTTTGGAACCAAATGTACTTTTTTAAAGCATACAAATATTTTAAAAAATAATTCCTAATATAGCTTATGAATTTTTAATGTTTTTTGGAGAAACTAAAAAAGTGCAGATTTTTGCTTTTAGAAATGAGAAACTTTTACAAAACTTTTTTTTTTTTTTCTTTTGGTGGGACTAGGGTTTGAACTCGGCATTGTACTTGCAAAGCAGGTGCTCTACCACATGAGCCATGTCTCCCGTCCATTTTGCTCTGGTTATTTTGAAGATGGGTTCTCGAGGACTTTTTGCCTAGGCTGGCCTCAAACCTCAATCCTCCTGATCTCAGCCTCCCAAGTAGCTAGGATTGCAGATGTGAGCCACAGGCGCCCAGATAAAACATCACCTTAATGATACAATAAGAGCCAGTGGTATGTTTACACAAATAGTCCTATTATTCTTTCATTTAACTTCTAAAAAGATGCTTTATAATTCATAAATAAATTAGTATAAAATATGGCTTTTTAGGGAGTTAAACATTTTAGTTCTTTAAAAATTTTTTTTAAATTAGGACTAGTACCTTTCAGTTACTTTGGTTTTGATGTCTATGTGCATGCCTCCAAAGGCCTTGAGTTTCCAAACGTCTATTTAATTCAATCTTAGATTCTGACATACTAAAAATACTTCAAGGAGTTCACATATGGATCTCTGCTGTCACCAGCCCACCCTTCACCTGTAGGCCTATATCAACACCAAGACCAGTATGATTCTTGTGGTATCATTTTGAAATTCACTCTTGATGTTTTAGGAAGGACGAATTCAGTTCTTATTTAAGTAAATCCAACTAACTAGTACTATCCCAGATTCCCCGGTTCTGTTGTTAAATATATGAACCAGAATGCATCTTCCTCAAGAGTTGAGCATTTCTAGCTAACTATGCCTAAATTTAAACTTATTTTTGTTTCTTTTACATTTGACAATGTTCTTTCAATATTCTAACCTTAAAATTTCCAGATCTTGTTTTTATTTCCCTCCCTTTACTTATATTAGTTTTCTATATAGTATTTATATATACTTTTATATTTAGTATTATAGATTCTACTTCTTCATTTTTCTTTTTACTCCCTTCGTTCCACTCCTACCACTGCTACTGACTCAGCCCTCATTATAATCACTGTATTCAAATTTTAACATTAATTGCTGCCAAGTTAGTTTCCTTCAGTTTCTAACTGTACTTCCCACCTCAGAATTTTTCTAAAGCACCATATTATATATTTAGGCTAAACTCCTCATTTGGGCATTCAAGGCCCTCTACTGTAATAACCCTTCCTTCTAATTTTGTCTTATTATTCTTCTATATGCACTTAATACTACAGACAACTGTACTATCTACTTTTTCCTAAACGTGCTGGTTTTTCTACCTCTGTGCTTTTCAGTCTCTTACTTCTGCTGGAATACCCTTCTGACCCATCTCTACTTACTGAAATTCTAATGTATCATTTTGTGACTAGGCCTTCTTGATTATCCCTAACTAGGAGTCATCTTCTAATCTGTTTTTAAAGCATTCTTACAAGTCTTGAGTACTTACTCTCCTCTGTATTATTGCTGTTGACCTTACTCATCTACTACCTGTTCAACTTCTTCAGGAAAGGCAATGTGGATAATCATTCATCTTTGTGTCAATTCCAAGATAATGTCCAGGTCCTGAAAAATGAATATTTTTGGATTTGTCTTGAGCCAGATTAAGCAGTAAAGAAGATAAGAAATCAAGATGCTATTTACTTAGTCCAACTGAGTGTAATCCCATTTTAGTTAGAAGGTTTGGAATGGAACTAAATAGACTTGAATTTATTTATAACTTTGCTTTGTCTATAACTTTGTGCTGGAGATGAAACTTGGGATCTCAAACATGCTAGGCAAGAGCTCTACCACTGAGTTAACATCCCTGACCCCTGTTTCTGTAACTTTTGATTGGTGGTTGTTTATAGCAGGGTCTTACTATCTAATTCAGGCTGTCCTGGAACTCACAATCTTCTTGCCTCAGCCTCTCAACGGCTGGGATTATAGGCCTATGCCACCATGCTGGTTTATTTCTATAACTTTTGATAAATCATCCAATCTGGGGGTTTTTCCCCTCATAATAACCAAGTACAAACACTTTCCTATCTGCTTTACAGGAGGATTTAAGGAAAAGTCATATATGTAAAAATGCCATTTACTACTAAAAAAAAAAGTTGCAATTTTAAAAATTCTATAAATACACTACTGCTTGTTATAAATTGAACTGTGCTTGTTATAAATTGAACTGACATTTGATAAAGAACAGGAAGAGTTTGCTTAAGTTTTTTTTGCGGGGGAGGGTGGTGGTTAATGCTTGGACATTGAAAACATTGGGCAAAGTCATACCGGTTTCCATATTTCCTTGTAGTTTGACCAATTTACTGTTATCTCACATATGGATTCTTCTCTTCTCCCACCAATTAAGTAATCATTGCAGTCTCATAAACACTGTGTGGATAAAAGGGGTATGAATCACTATAAATTCTGAGGCTTTTTAATTAAACAACACGGTGCTGGGTACTTTACTACTCTTACTGTAATAAATTTGTATACTTAGGTATGTTCTAAAGCTTTATCTCATGCTTTTATTAGGCCCAGTGAAAAAAGGAAAAGAACAAAATACACAGCGGAGCTTTTTCCTCAGAATGAAGTGCACCCTAACTAGCCGGGGGAGAACTATGAACATAAAGTCTGCGACGTGGAAGGTAAGAATGCTTTAGAATTGTGAGGAAAGGGGCTGAGCAAGATGGTACACACCTGTAATCCCAGCTGCTTAGTAGGTAGAGATCAGGAGGATCATGGTTCAAGGCAAGCTCTAGGAAAACAGGTTGCTGAAATCCCCATCTCAACTAATAAGCTGGCGGGTATGGTGACACAGGGGGTATAGAGAGAGGAAGCTCATGGTCTGAGGCCAGCCCCAGACAAAAGCTTTAGAACTCTGAAAAATAAAGCAGAAAGGACTAGGGGAGTGACTCAAGTGGTAGAGCGCCTATCTAACAAGCACAGGGCCCTGAGTTCAAACCCCATTTCTGTCAAAAAACAAAAAGAATTGTGAGGTAAAGCTTACAGTCTTTCCCTGTTTGCAGGTTTAACAGTCGTACCTTCAGCTGATTTATGTGTGATCTCCAGAATTCAAAAAGTGTACTGATTTGCCAGTTTGAGATGCCAACTTGAATTATGGTTGACTTTGTCAGCCACCCAGTATTTGAATACTGATGTTTAATTTCCTATTTATCGAGGTTTTGTTTTTGAGGGGGTGGATGGGGCAGCACGGAGGTTTGAACTCATGGCCTCACACTTGCTAGGCAGGTGCTCTTACTGCTTGAGCTACTGCCCTAGCCCCCTAATTTTCTATTTATCATTGTATCATTTCTTTGCTCAGTGTTCAGACATAGTCATCAGAGCAAAATAATCACAAAACACCTACAGTGACCATATGAATGAAAAAGCAGCCCAAACTTATGCAAGGGGGATTAAAACCAAACAAAACAGTAATCTGTGAAATCAAGGAAGTAACGGTGTCCTAGGGGGAAACATTTATTGATTTTTCAAAACTAAACTTAGTCTACTAATGAAAGTAAACGTTATCAAAGCTTGCCATGTCAGACTTAAGTATTGGTCTCTACATTTTGTTCTGTTCTAGCATTGAAACAAAAAAAACAAGCCCAGTGCCGGTGGCTCACGCCTATAATCCTAGCTACTCAAGAGATAGAGATCAGGAGGATTGTGGTTCGAAGCCAGCCTGGGCAAACAGTTCAAGAGATCCTGTCTTGAAAAAACCCATCACAAAGAAGGGCTGATGGAGTGGCTCAAGGTGTGGGCCCTGAGTTCAAATCCCAGTACAATAATAATAATAGCTGCTTTTCTTGTTCATACACAGGTACTTCACTGCACAGGCCATATTCATGTATATGATACCAACAGTAACCAACCTCAGTGTGGGTATAAGAAACCACCCATGACATGCTTGGTGCTGATTTGTGAACCCATTCCTCATCCATCAAATATCGAAATTCCTTTAGATAGTAAGACTTTTCTTAGTCGACACAGTTTGGATATGAAATTTTCTTACTGTGATGAAAGGTAAATAAGTTGTAAAGTATAATTTGAAATTTTTAATTTATCTACAGCTTTTTAAAATATGCACTAAAGACTCCATGGTAGATTGTATGTATTCACTGAGTTAACTAAAATGATACATGTTGGAACCCAAAAATATTAACTTTGTAAATTTAATTCAGCCACATTTATTGAATACTCTGCCAGGTGCTATACAAAAGCTATTATGATGAGGTTGTTTTACTTTAGGAAATCTTATTTAAAGTGAGAAAGTAAATTTCAAAGACATACTATGCATGGAGACTGGATAGCAAAGTTTTTGGTAATCTCTTCAACCTACATATTTTCTCAGAGTCAACTTTGTGGTTTCTATCACCATTTTTCAAATTATTTGGTACTGCTTTTAAGTAACTGCCAACATGGTATTTCTGTTTGGATATTCTTCCATATTATAAACTAAATATTTCTGTTACTGAACTGTACCACTGTTCCCAGACAACATCATGAACTTCTCCTATCATGCTTAACATTGTTAATGCACCATTGAAGATGCATGGCTCTGGTAAAACTTTGGAAGTCATCCTTAACTTTTACCACAGCTATGCTCATTTGATTTCTAAACCTTATGAATTTCTATCTCTTCCTTTTTATCCTTGCCCTCCTATTGAATTCTTCACTTCTTTACTACCTTTGGTCTGAACTGTTACCATAATCTGTTAAGCTGCATTTCTATCAATAGATCTGTGCCCTCTTAATCTTTTACCCAAGTTGCCAAAAAGTCAGATTATGCCATTCTGCTGTTGAAATGCCTCAGTTGCTCCCTACAATATTAGAGGAGGGAAGGACATTTTTATTTACCAAAAGATGTATACTTTAAAAGGCAAGGAAAAACTATCATATACAGCAAAACCTAAACTTCTGAGGATGACAAAGGTGTTTATGATCTGGCCCCTGCCCAGTTCTCCAAATTAATCAGGAGGAGAGGAGACACTCCCCCCACCCCAAAACAAAATCTGGATGTGGCCTCAATATCCTATAACTAGATGGCTCCATGTGCTGTTTTTGTATAATGACTTTGCACATACTTTCCCAACATGCACTGAAGTTGTTTTGTTTTCACCTCCTAGCACATAACTTTTTTTTTTATCATTTTCACATTTACTCACAAATATATACATTGTTTGGACCACAGCTTCCCACCCCCTCCCCAGCACATACCTTTTAAGAGAACCTTTGTGCAACTTTGCTTGTTCCTTCAAGAAGAAACTATACTATTCTTGTATATATCACTGTTGTTTGTTGTCTTGTCTCATTTTTTTACTCTAATGCTGTATAATATAGTGGTTATGCACAGGACCGTAGCCAGAATACAGATTCTGACACCGCTGCCATAATATCCAAATGGAAACATTAGTTCTCTTTGAATGTCAGTTTCTTAATCTTTAATAACATCTACTTGATGTGTAACTTGAAGATACTAGGAACAACTGATTTTAAGCATTTAGCCATAATGCAGATTAGAATCCCTCACTCTTTAGACAAAAGTTGACCAAGCACTGCTTTGAAATCACATAATCTTGCATTTGGTTTTAGTTTGCAGCTATGATACTTAATTGGTGTAAGACCTCACACTCTTTACCTAGATCAGGGTCACACTTCAAAAAGCTATTACTAAACCAGGTGCCAGTGGCTCACACCTGTAATCCTAATTACTCAAGAGGCGCAGAGGTCAGGAGGATCAGTTTGAAGCCAACCCAGGCAAAAAGCAATTCCCTACCTCAAAAAATCCCAACACAAAGAGGACTGGTAGTGTAGCTAAAGTGGTAGAGCACTTGCTTACCAAGTATGAGCCCAGTATTGCCAAAAAAAAAAAAAAAGGAGTTTGTTGAGTGCCTCGTACACTCATCACTGGTGTCAACTTTAAGAAAATAAAGACAGAAAACTAATAACTATTTTATCGTGTTCATTGCTTTCACTTGTGAAGGTACAATGGAACAGAAATGCTCATCCTAATTTTTTTTTAAGCTTGTAAAAAGAAAGTATAGGAGTAGGCTAGAGAGAAAGGAAAGTGATACTGGAAATTATTAGCACAATGATCGTCACAGGAGTTGATAGTAAAAATAACCAGCTTAAAGATCAACTGAGAGAGGCAGACACTCCTTTTGTGGTTAAAGCTCTTTCTAACATAACCCTGGTAACCAAGACATGGAAAACAGATTTCTAACATCAAGAATATCCTACAAACAACTGTTTATTGCACTGAATAATGCCCACTTACAATCATTCAACACATTTATTCGAGCATCTCTGTGTTTCACACTGATGTAGAAATTAAAATCAACAGTTTCTCCCCTTGATGTTGCTTTAAGATCACCAGTTTCCTAGTCCATTAAAAATATTTTCTGAGCCTGTAATCCTAGCTACTTAGGAGGATTAATGTTTTGCCTAGGCAAAACCCGTAGCTGGGTGCAGTGGCAGCAAGAAGAGTAAAATAGAGGATAGGAGTCTAGCCCAGTCTGGGAAAAAAAGTGACACCCTATCTCAAAAATAACCAGAGCAAAAAATGGCTGGAGGCATGGCTCAAGCAGTAGAGTGCCTGCCTAACAAGCACAAAGTGCTGAGTTCAAATTCCAGTACTGCCAAAAAAAAAAAAAAAACCTTTTGATCAGATTTTCTGGATCCCTTTTCTTTCTGGTACAGATATAAACTAAAGTTAAATTTTATTTTTAACCTTACTTTCTCTCACATGAATGAAATTGACCTTTTAGGTAAATATATGTAGTAGTAGACATACATGATTAAGAAGCATTGATTGACATCTGATTAAATTGAAGCTTCCTAAGACAGTATATATGACCCTCATTGATCTGACTCTCCTGCCTGCTTCTCCAGCATCAACTCCTTATACATGCTCCCCACTAGCCATATCATTTAAGTATTTTAATTCAATAGGAATTTTTATTTAAATATATAAAATATAACAGCAATTAAATTTATATTTAGAGCTGGATACACAACTCAGTGGTAGAGTACTTTCCTAATATGCACAAGCCCTGGGTTCGATTCCCAGCACCCCAAAAAGTAAAAAATACTTTTAAAGCATAAGTTAGACCTGAGATTGAGTTTAAAAATAATATTTTCTTTGTGATTCTGCCATCTAGTGTTGATGTGTAAAGAATTAAGTGGGGTTGGTTTGACTTTTGCTAAATCAGCTTTTGCTTATTTTGCCACTTTTTTGTTGTTGTTGTTTCTGGGGTTTGAACTCAGTCCCTTGCACTTGCTAAGCAGGCATCATACCATTTGAAACACTGTGCCTGCCCTGTTTATTTTGGAATGAACTACGATTTGTATATCTTGCCTTAAAGTATGACAACACAGTGTTACACATATACCTTTATTAGTAAGGATTCCATGCTATGTCCTTTCTGTTATTAGGTGTTTTTGTTTGCTTGTATTTTGAACACAGCACAATATGCTACTTTTTCTTGCATTTCAGTAAGAAAGTCCTTTGAAATCTAAAGGCTGAGCAACCTAAACATTTAACTTCATGTTTTGTTCCCATAAAGACTTTGGAAGAGAATATATTTGTGTAGTGGTATGCTGAGAAAACAGCTTTGTCTTTCTTTTGAAGTGGTTTCTCATGAAGTTTTCCAAACTGAATAGAAAGAATAAGTTCTAGTTTCTATATTAACTGCCAGGAAACCATATGAGCTAACTGGATTAGTTTGCAGCCCATCTTTATTTTGATACTGTGTCAAAAATTCCCATAATTTCATGTAATTAATTGTAGAAACTATGAGTATCTTACATGAAACCATCATAATAATTATTCCTTTAATTCCCATTTAGTGTGGTTACTGTTTGGTTAATGATACTGGAACTCTGTAGTAGATACTGATTCCCAAAAGTGATTCCTTACCAAAGGGCCTAAAAATTATCAGATAAAGAATTTAGTCTTATGGAAAAATGTTACGGATTTAATCTGTATTTTAAAGTAAATGTTAACTAACTTCACAACTTTTATCATGTAATTTAGTAGTACTTCATATCTTTCTATTAATACTCTGCCTGGTTACCAACATATATAATGAAATGTGATTAAAAAAGAAAAGTTTCGGTAAAGGAGATAAAAATAAAATATCAAGGATGAGTCTAGAATGCACTTATAGAAATGTATGGTGTTGCACTTAATAGATATAATTATTAAAAGTGAGATGTAAATTTATTCTAAGAAAGAAGGGGGAGGGCTGTCTTTAGTTTTGAAGATTCTCTTGTCCATAAGAAATATGTATCAGTTACTCTGGAGAAATTCTTTCTTTTTTCTAACAGAATTACTGAATTGATGGGATACGAGCCAGAAGAACTTTTGGGCCGTTCAATTTATGAGTATTATCATGCTTTGGACTCTGACCATTTGACCAAAACTCATCATGATAGTAAGTACAATGGAGGAGCCAAGAGGTATTCTCATTACTTAACTCTTCCAATCCCTACTGTTGTCCATACATCTAATTGTGGTTAAAATTAACCAGTCTTCCAAAGCCAAATATGTTAACAGACCTCTTGATTTTAGTTAAGTCTTTGTTTTGTATTTGTCAGGAAAAGTAGATTGTTTGATGATATATAAAACTTCCCTGGCATTTTAAATACAAAGACTTAAAAAGCCACATGTGGTAATATGATAGAATATTTAACAGCATCATTTCTAGAATACATACTTAAATACTGAGATCAGTGATTGGTACATAGGAGGCCATCAGGAAATATTTGAGTGTATCAGTGAATGTGAAGGTGATCAACATTACACACATTTGGTAACAAGTGCCCTCAGAAGTAAGATATAATTGTGAATTTCACTCAAGTGAATGTTACCTGAGATTCCAGAGTAAGATAAATTTTGGAATTTCTCACTTACTGTTTAATCTGTACCTAAACATAGATTGCCCAATGTGATTTCAAATACCTGAGTGTCACTGAATTAGTGTAATTACCCCTTAAATTTCAAAGTAAGCCCAAGTCTGCATTCAGGGAATGAATACTCAAAATAGCATTATTATGACTTACTCATTTTTTTTCTTCTAAATCAATAATTTAGATAGCCTGAATTCACAAAAGACTACTGTGTGGTATCAATTTATATTCAGATATGCTAAGTACAACTTAGCATACCTTCTTGGTTCTCTGGAAACTATAGCAGGAATTTTAGGAAATAATACTATCACTATCTTGAGTGTCTGTGGAGTCAATTGATCATTCTGTAGTCTGACATAAGTAATTAAAAGAATTTCGGTCACTACTCTCTCTCATTTCTGACTTTCATTTTATTTACAGTGAAGATTGGTAGGAAAGGAGTTTTACTTTGGAGGTTTATTTTCAGCTGTGATGGGGCTTAGCATCTCCCCTTTTCGAAAACAGTGATCCACATTCAAGATCTTTTTGTTTGATTGAAAATTCATTTATTTTCTCTGTATGATTCTTTTTCCTTTTCTTTCCTAGTGTTTACGAAAGGACAAGTAACCACAGGACAGTACAGGATGCTTGCCAAAAGAGGTGGCTATGTCTGGGTTGAAACTCAAGCAACTGTCATATATAACACCAAGAACTCTCAACCACAGTGCATTGTATGTGTGAATTATGTTGTGAGGTAAGCTTGGGAAATAACATTTTGGAGAGAGCAAGTAGCAGCTCTATTTTGGGTGCACTATTCCTTTATAGAAAGAGATAAGATTCTAAATTCTAACTGAATTTTATTTTACTTTCACTTTTCTACTGAATTATCATTTTTAGTTCTATGATCTAGGTTTCTATACCATCTAGTCTAGTGATTGTACTAAACATTATCAGTTGTAGTCTATCCACATACTTTGACTCCTGATTTTTCAAGACCTTAAAAAAGTTGCCCAGTGTGTAGATTAGTTTTCTGTAGCCATGGAGATTTAGGCATATACTATCTCAAGATAGCTGTTATTTTTGTAAGAAGAATATTGGTCTTGGAATACTTTTGTGTCAGAGCTCTGCCACTCATTAGCTCTGTGACCTTGGGGAAGTCTCCTCATTTCTCCTAATTTCATCCGTGTAGGTGAGATGATAATAATATCCCAAAAGGTTATAATGAAGATAAAATGAAAGTCTAGTGAGAGTACTATAAAAGGCTGTTATATAAACAGGACATGGCTTTTGTTATATTCATGAACTCTTAGTTTATTGGTTTGTGAGTATGTACACATCTTCCATTTGATCTATTTTAGTAGACTCTGCCTCATTTGGTCTATCTTCTACATTACTGAAACATTCTCACTTATCTAACAGACTAAGTTTTCTAGTGTAGACATTTCATCTTGTTTTCCTTTTTTTTTGTAGCACGGGGGTTTTAACTCAGGCCCTCAAGCTTGCTAGGCAGCCCTTTTTTGTTATTGGTTTTTTTTGAGATAAGGTCTCGTGAACTATTTGCCTGGGGCTGGCTTTGAACTGTGCCTCCCGATCTCTGCCTCCTGAGTGGCTAGTATTACAGACGTGAGCCACTAGCTCTATCTCTTTAGAATTTTTTTTTTTTTAAAGATACCTTTATCACCCCTAAGGTAAACCCTTGCCTACTTGCCTAACATCAGTTTTTGCTAGTTCTAGGGACTTACCTATACTATTCTTACCACTCTGACACCAATAGAATTGTCTTAATAATAGTACCAGATGTTTTTTTGTGTGTGATTTTACCATTAAGAATGTTCTTTTCTCCCCCGCATAGTCTGCTTAACATACGCTCTTGAGCCCAAGTTTCAAGGCTCAAGATTGTAAGCCTTCTTAGAAGCAACCCTTTTCCACTTTAGAGTACCACTGTTTTTCATTTGCCTATCTGTTGCACAATGGATTATAAGTTTCTTAAAGGCAAGTGTTGGTAATTTTCATCTTTGTGTCCTCAGTTCATTTCACATACTGAACATTTAATATGTTAACTAAAGGAGTAACAAATTTACATTGAACCCAAACATGATGCTGGAGCTATTATTCATCATCCCTCTTCTACCCTGTGTGATATCCCCATATCGTTTTCTTACTACTAAAGAAAATATGGCACCCCTTTCAGAATATGGTCATTCTTTCTATCTTTACATTTTAGGCCCATCCTTAGGCATGCCCTATATTAATGCCAAAGAGTTCTTTTGTGCCATTTCATTATGTGAATCAACACAAACATTCTGAAGATCTGTTTGTGTCCTTTATGTACTTCACTGCAAATCCTTTTACTACCACTTTTCCCAAAAGTTATCTGAAATTTTAAATTAAAATTGGTCAAATATTTCAATTATCCTTTACTATGAATTTTATTGGGACTTTATTTCATACTGGTTTTTTGGGTTCATTTGTTTGTGCAGTGCTGGGGCTTGAACTCAGGGCCTACCACTTGAGCCACTCCAACAGCCCTTTTTTTTGTGTGTGTGTGTGTTAGGTGTTTTCGAGATAGGGTCTCATGAACTGTTTGTCTGGCCTGCCATCAAACTGCAATCCTTCTGATCTCTGCCTCCTAAGTAGCTAAGATTATAGGCGTGAGCCACCAGTGCCCAGCTCATACTGGTATTTTAAAACCCTAAATGTGATAGAGTATGCATGAGAGATCATTCATCTCAAGGAATATTAAAATATTCCTTTTCATAAGGCAGAATTTAAGAGAAAAGTCATTTCATAGTCTTCCTTATCCTCCTCATGTCAAGTGTTCATTTAAGAATTAAAAAATCTCTTTTTTTGACAGTGGTATTATTCAGCACGACTTGATTTTCTCCCTTCAACAAACAGAATGTGTCCTCAAACCAGTTGAATCTTCAGATATGAAAATGACTCAGCTGTTCACCAAAGTTGAATCTGAGGATACAAGTAGCCTCTTTGACAAGCTCAAGAAGGAACCTGATGCTTTAACTCTGCTGGCCCCAGCTGCTGGAGACACAATCATATCTTTAGATTTTGGCAGCAGTGGTGGGTATTTAGTTATTTTATTAATCTCTTTAGCAAGTCCCATTTCAACTGAACCTTACTCTGACATTTTTTGGACATTGCTTATACATTTTTTCCAGTCATCTTGAAAGTTTTCACTTAAATATTTTTGTCCTGTAATTTCTTTGCATCCTGCTTTTTTCACATTATTGGGAATTGTGCTTCAAAGTATCCTTAAGGTAGTTCCTCATCCCATTCTAATCTTCTCAAAGTATGTTAAATTTTAATGTACAAAAGTTTGGGGCTGGTCTCTGAAGTATAATGGTTAGCACATTTGCCTCACATGCAAACGATTCCTGGCAACCAAGCAGAAACAAGTGTTTACTATTGGTGGCTGGTTAATTCAGCTGCTAATAAAAAGGGTGGAATTATAGTTCTTCTATGAATATAGGCTAACAGGAGTTGTTAAGAGTGAACTGAAAAGATAACCCAGACTTATGGTTATATCTGTAAACCAACTAAGGAAAACTTGGTAACTTCTTTATTGCTTGAGTGAAGTACATAAATCTTTTGTAAAAAGGAGATTTCTGTATATGTTAAAATTCTTAAGTTCTTTAGATTGACCAAGTTTTTCCTCTGTAGATACAGAAACTGAAGACCAACAACTTGAAGTTCCAATTTATAATGATGTAATGTTCCCCTCATCTAATGAAAAATTACCGAATATAAATTTGGCAATGTCTCCATTACCTGCTTCTGAAACTCCAAAGCCACTTCGAAGTAGTGCTGATCCTGCACTCAATCAAGAAGTTGCACTAAAATTAGAACCAAATTCAGAGTCATTGGAACTTTCTTTTACCATGCCCCAGATTCAGGATCAGCCAGCAAGTCCTTCTGATGGAAGCACTAGACAAAGTTCACCTGAGGTAGGTACCATGATATAAGAAAAGTACCCAGAATAAGTATTTTGCATCTAACTTGATATTAACAATCCTACAAACCAACAAAAATAGTCTTTAAAGGCTAGGTTGGACCAGTACTAGAGGTATTATATTACATTTCTATTTCTATTTCTTTCTTTTTTTTTTTTTTCAATTTATTCTACACTAGTAATACAAGATTTCATTATAATTCCAACATGTGTAGAGTGTACCTTGAACAAGTTCACCACTTGCATTCTAGTCCCATTCCCCTCTCTTCTCTTTCAGTGTTGGACGGGTTTTATTATGCTATCTTCATACATGCAGCGCACTTCCATCTTCTGCACTCCTTAGTACAGCTCTTATTTCCAAATATAGAATGATTCAATTTTAGAGCTTTCTGCTACTAAAACTATGCTTTGAACTTAGCTATGAAGATTATAACTTGACAAATGAGGCATAAATAAATCTTAGTAAGTGGTAAATAATTCTATATTAACTATTTAATGATTAAACTGGCAAGCTTAGATTAGATTAGATACCTACTATATTCCTGGAGAATGTATCCTTTGCTCTGATTGTTTAGTTTACCTAGCACAAAAATGTTTGGTTCTTTTACTAACAAAAGTAAATCTAATAAAAAATGTTAAAATGAGAGAAGAACATCCAGCTATGGGGTTTTAGGTTAGAATTCTTGCCCAGAACTCCTAGAATAGTAATATATCCATTAAGGTGTATGCAGGTAAAAAAATTTAAATTTCAGACTCCATTGCCTACGGTAGCATTCACATAGGAGTGTGCCTTCTCTGTACAGAGGTAGATTCCAGTGAGTATATCATCTAGTTAATTGTCTAATTAGGGCCACCATGGGGCTTGAATTGTTACATAAGTTTATTTATTTTTTTTTTTTTTTGTAGTCCTGGAGATTGAACCCAGGATCTCACACATGCTAGGCAGTGCCATCAACTGAATTGTGCCCCTAGTGCACTCCCTCCCTTTTTAAAAAATTTTACTTTGAGGCAGGGTCTTGTTAAGTTGTCCAGACTGGCCTCAAACTGGGAATCCTCCTGCCTCAGCCTCTTTCGTAGCTAGGATTATAGGCGTGCTTGACCACACCTGGATGTTTTAGTCTTTATAGTACGCAGATAAGTGCATTTTTAATATTAATTTTTAAAATTAATGTTATACAGTGAGAAATATGTATACTAGTAAAATTAATTACCAGTATAAACTCAAACATGTAACTTTTTAGTTAGATAAAACTCAATAAATGAGGTAGAATTTGCTGTATATTTTCTGAGATCTGGCTTGAAAACTTTAACAAGGAAAACAGAAGAAAGCTTATTCAGGGAAAAGTAAACACTTTTAACTCCTTTGACAGCCTAACAGTCCCAGTGAATATTGTTTTGATGTGGATAGTGATATGGTCAATGTATTCAAGCTGGAATTGGTAGAGAAACTTTTTGCTGAAGACACAGAAGCAAAGAATCCATTTTCAACTCAGGTATGAACCTGTTTATTTTTATGTATTGGTTTTTGTAAATTTTTAGCTTGAAATAACTGGGTTTAATTTGTTTTTCTTTTCAATAAGCAGCCATTGTAAAAACTGATGTATTTACTGTGTTTTAAAGGACACTGATTTAGACTTGGAGATGTTGGCTCCCTATATCCCAATGGATGATGATTTCCAGTTACGTTCCTTTGATCAGTTGTCACCATTAGAAAGCAGTTCTGCAAGCCCTCAAAGTGTGAGCACAGTTACAGTATTCCAGCAGACTCAGCTGCAAGAACCCACCATTAACACTGCCACTCCCACCACTGATGAATTAAAAACAGTGACAAAAGATGGTATGGAAGACATTAAAATACTGATTGGATCTCCGTCTCCTATCCACGTACCTAAAGAAACCGCAACTGACACAACATCACAGTATGGTGATCCTCAGAGTCGGACAGCCTCACCAAACAGAGCAGGAAAAGGAGTCATAGAACAGACAGAAAAGTCTCATCCAAGAAGCCCTAACGTGGTATCTGTCACTTTGAGCCCAAGGTATTTATAAGTAACACTAAAGTTACAGTTTTTCTATTATGTTTCAGCAAATATGTGTGATGTTACATGATTTCTAAATATACATGGACCTTTCTGACATTATGCTTTTTTAAAGAACATAAAATATACTAAATCTGAATTTAAAACAAGCACAAAAAACTTTCTAAATTACCCTGTATATTTTTCTCTAAAACAATCCTATCAACTGTCTGAATGGAGGAGCTCTTCTAATGCCTTTAAAAATAAAATCTAGGGCTGGGGCATGGCTCAAGTGCTGGAGCACCTGCCCCGAGTTCAGACTTCAGTATTGCAAAAAGAATAAAAAGCAGAAAGAATGTAGCCAGTCAATTGTGTAACTGTGTAAGAATTGGCCCAGGCATACTTGGTGCAGTTGTTCACTTCAGACTAGTAACTGTCCTCACTACTTAGATGCTTCCATCTTTTAGAATTCTTTTTAAGCTTACATGAAGAAAAGCCCTTCAGTTTGAGGGTTCTTTCCAATCCCAAATTGGGCTTGATGATTTTATTCTTGCCCCTGGCGGGACTGGCCTTGGACCATGATCCTTACCTTTGGCCTCCTGTGTAGCTAGGAGGCACAGATAATGTACCCACCATGCCCAACTGGTTGCTTGAGATGGGGTCTACCTAACTTTTTGTCTAAGCTGGTCTTGAAGCAGAATCTTTCCAGTCTCCACCTCCCTAGTAACTGAGATTACAGGTATGTACCACATGGCCCAAGCCTGGCTCAAGCTTAATGATCTTTAACTCTCAGTGTTTGTTGAATATGGATATTTAATAGCCTTTAAAAAATGTATATAGTTTCTCACTTTAAATTGCTTTTGTTTTTCATTACCTATTTGTACATTAGCTATATTACAGGTCAAATAAGTTTTTTAGGCCTAAACCAAGAATCCTAGCATGACTTATGTTTTATGGAATGAAGCAATGTTTGAGCAAATATTTGCACATGACTCAAATTTATTTATTTATTTATTTATTTGTTCATTTATTTTGGTGTGGCTGGGGTTTGAACTTAGGGCTTTGTGCTTGCAAAGCACTCTACTACTTGAACCACACCTCCAGTTCAAGACATGACCTGGTTTTATAATTTCTTTATGTAGTTTGTAATGGGATTTGACATATTTTAAATTTGAGACTATACCTAGAGGAAAGAATCTTAGCTAGTCAGTGTGGTGGAGAATGATGGCTCCTTTCCTGTGCCTAGATAGAGCCAATTGTCATCAGCAGGAAAGAAGTACTGCTCTAAGCCCAACATAGGTTCTCTTCTCTGTGTCTTCAGTACTACCTTGACCTGGAGTGCTGGAAGAAGCCTGCTTTTTCCCTGACCTAGGGAAAAATTAAGACTTCAGATGAATTCAGAAGCCAGGCACAGTGGTACACATCTGTGATCCCAGCAAGTGGGAGGCTGAGGCAGGAGGATCATGAGTTCTGAGGCCAACCTGAACTACATAGTGAGACCCTATCTAAAAAAAATAAAAACAAAGTAAAAGGTCTATAAATACTATACCAGCAACTGACTTCAGCCCTTAGCTCCACTGGGCAATGACAATATCTTCAGCATTTCAGTGATACTAATACTTAGGTCAGTACCTGGCTTGTAGGACTTGCTCAATAAATGATTGTTGGAGTGAGATGAATGAATATAATGATGTAAATGACAATGATCTGTAATTTCCAGTTTACTATTAGCTACAGAGAATGGGATATTCAGTTTTCCAAACAACTATTTCTCTTGGATTTTACTTGTCACAATTAAAGTCTAATATCACATCGGGTTAGCAATTCTGGAACATTACCAACACTTTTACAGATAAACACTTTTAAAGATAAACTTTCTATGTAGTCTCTTCCCCACCCACCCTTTTAGGTAGCTATTTGCAAAATTAAAATGCTATACTAAATCAAATTAACAGCTTTAGAACAGGATTAAGGACAAACCATTAGAAATACTACTACTAAGATGATATTTACATGATAGACTTGAGTTCTGTTTCATAAAGACAATGTATAAGAATTTTAAAACCTGCCTATCTATATACTACGTTTTATTTAAAACACACAACAAAAATGCAAATAGGAGAACAGTTACAGTTATATTATCAGCTACCCATTTTGCATTCCCAAGTATCTGGAACAGAGCAAGAAACTATTGTGATTATAACAAAATTGATGTACTGACTTTTAGAATACTTCCTTGCTATATTTTTAATTTTTTTGGCAGCATTGGGACTTGAACTCAGGGCCTTGCACTTTCTAGGCAGGCACTCTACCACTTGAGCCCCTTACCAGCTCTGTTTTATATTAGTTTTTTTCAAGATAGGGTCTTGCAAACTATTTGCCTCAGGCTGGCTTCAAACCACAATTTTCCTGATCTCTGCCTCCTAAGTAGCTAGCATTACAGGCCTGAGCCATGGGGCGTGGGTTCCTCATTATGTTACTTCTGGATACAGACAGCTCAGATTTGATAACCACATCAATACTGAGAGCAAACTGCATATTGTGCAAAGATTACCAGGAGGGGAGGTGGGCATCTGGAGACCACCCAGAGTGTACTTTCATTACCTGCAACTAACTAGCAATGGGACATCGAGCAAGTTACCTGGTAGGCCTCGGTTTCTTATTTATAAAATGAGTTTTACATGCTGGGCACCAGTGGCTCACGTCTGTAATCCCAGCTACTCAGTAGGCAGAGATCTAGAGGATTGCAGTTGAAGCTAGCCTGGGGCAAATAGTTCATGAGATTCTATATTGGAAATACCCAACACAAAACAGGGCTGGTAGAGTGGCTTAAGTGGTAGAGCACCTGCCTAGCAAGTGTGAGGACCTGAATTCCAACCCCAGGATCACTTAAAAAAAAAAAAAAACAGTATGATACACCCGTCTTGTTTTGAGAACTGGAATAAGTTTAAAATAAACTAATGAATATGAAATGTTATTAATTTATACAAATGTGAGCTTAATCTTGTATTTCTATAGTCCCAAAGAATGGCATCAAATGGTTATACTAGGTGGAATGAAAGGCTGCTGCTTAACTTTTGACTTAAACAATGTCAGTTTCTGGTTTGGGTCTTTTTATTTTGTTTTTGTTTGTTTGTTTGTTTGTTTTGAGGCAGGGTTTCACTATGTAGCCCAGGCTGTCCTTGAACTTGCAATCCTCTTGTGTCAGCCTGCTGAGTGCACCATTGCATCCAGCTAGTTCTGTTTTATAAAATAGGAATATGTATGGTTTAGAAAACTTTGTTTTAAAAAATTGAGCTTTACAGCTGGGAGCATAGTTCAGTGGTCAAGCACTTGCCTAGCATGTGTGAATCTCTGAATTCAGTCCGCAACATCTCAAAAACCAAAACAAGCTGGGCACTGGTGGCTCACACCTGTAAATCCTAGCTACTTGGGAGGCTGAGATTGAGAGGATCACAATTCGAACCAGCCCAGCCAAATAGTTCGCAAGACTCCCATCTCCAAAATAACCAGAGCAAAACGGACTGGACCTGCTTTGCAAGTGCAAAGCCCTGAGTTCAAACCCAGTTTCATCAAAAGGAAAAAATACCAAAAGAAACTGGAGCTTTTGCTTTAAGATAATAAACCTTGGGCTGGAGATATAGCTCAGTGGTAGAGTGCTTGACTGGTGTGCACAAGGTCCTGAGTTCAACTCCCGGCATCACCAAAAAAAGATAATAAACCTTAACAGTCAAGAAAGTTCTTATATATATAAAAAACACATTCCTTAGTGTTGGAAACTAAGGCATTATGTATTTTGTTTAAAAGAACTTGTTGGATTTTTTTTTAAAACATATTTTTATGTAGAATGGTTTTCTTTCCCAGAAATACTGCTCCTGAGGAAGAATTAAATCCAAAGATACTGGCTTTGCAGAATGCTCAGAGAAAGAGAAAAATGGAACACGATGGCTCACTTTTTCAAGCAGTAGGAATTGTAAGTAATGTTGTTTTTGTACTTTAGCTAATGTGCTAAATAGTATCTTCCAAATACTATTTATATTTCTAGAAGCTATACATTGACTTCTTTACTTTCTATGTACTATATTTTGAAAATACATTTAATTAATGCAGGTGTATCTTGAGTAAGAATTGAAAGTTCTCCCATGATTCCACCCTCTATATCACTACCAGTCTCATTTTCTTTCCTTTAAGTTATTTTCCCCTTATAACTGGAAACTTTGTGTTTTAGGGCCAGTTTAGGCTGGTTGTAATCCAAAGAGATATTTTCAGTCCAAATTAACTGGAAAGTATTTATAGACAAATTAGTAATAACAGGTAGCAAATGACTTTATCTTAATACTAAGAGGAAGAATTAAAAATAATTTAGGGCAGTATCTTAAGAAATCTGCCTGTAAGTTGCTAGTAAGTTTACACTGATTTCAAAGTTCTTGATTGTAAAAAAATAAAAGTTCACATATTAAACTTGAAATAACTTCACTCTTTTTAGGGAGCATTATTGCAGCAACCAGATGATCGTGCCGCTACTACATCGCTTTCTTGGAAACGCGTGAAAGGATGCAAATCTAGCGAACAGAATGGATTGGAGCAAAAGACAATTATTTTAATACCCTCTGGTTAGTTATTCTTTCTGCCCTTGACCATGACAAGGAAAGTTATTTAGGAGCTATACCCCATGTGAGGGTGATTTCAGTTCCTTGGCAAAATTAAAAAGTAAAAAGTACAGTAGCATTTCATTTATTACTAATTTTCTTTTATATGTCTATGTGCTGTCAATATTGATAGAAACAGAAACCTGCAAATATTTGTGTCTGTCTAAATTATAAGTCCTTTAAAAAGTGCCTTCATTGCATCCTGTAAATACTTTTGACAGCACCAATAAACTTGATTGCACTTGTTTGTTTATATAACTATGGTTTTGCTCAGTAAACTAAAGACAATTCCAGAGACTATTTGTTTTATTTTCTCCCATACCTAGTACATAGTATGTCTTGAATCAATTTAATGACTACTTAGGTGTCTCTTTGTTTTTCAGATCTAGCATGTAGACTGCTGGGGCAATCAATGGATGAGGCTGGATTACCACAGCTGACCAGTTATGATTGTGAAGTTAATGCTCCCATACAAGGCAGCAGAAACCTACTGCAGGGAGAAGAGTTACTCAGAGCTTTGGATCAAGTTAACTAAGCTTTTTCATAATCTCATTCCTTTTGTGGGTTTTGGTTTTTGGGTTTTATTTTTTATTTTATTTTATTTTATTTTATTTTTTTGGACACTGGTGGCTCATTACCTAAAGCAGTCTATTTATATTTTCTATATCTAATTTTAGAAGCCTGGCTACAATACTGCACAAACTCGGGTAGTTCAGTTTTGATCCCCTTTCTATTAATTTACCTAATGCTCTTTTTTAATATGTTCTTTAATGCCAGATCACAGGCAGCACATTTTCACAATTCTTTGGTATTTAAACAGTTGCATCGCAGTAGTGTCATTTAAAAATGCACCTTTTTATTTATTTATTTTTGGCTAGGGAATTTGTCCCTATTGAATTATTTTTAATGAAATGCCAACATAATTTTTTAAGAAGGCAGTAACCTTTCATCATGACTGTAGGCAGTTGAAATTTTTACTCTGTTTTTTTTTTTTTTTTTTTTCACAATTTTACATAAACAATAATGCTTTGCCAGCAGTACGTGGTAGCCACAATTGCACAATATATTTTCTTAAAAATTACCAGGAGTTACTCATGCAATATATTCTGCATTTATAAAAGTAGTTTTTAAGAAGAAATTTTTTTTGGGCCTATGAAATTGTTAAACCTGGAACATGACATTGTTAATCTTACAATAATGATTCTTAAATGCTGTATGGTTTATTATTTAAATGGGTAAAGCCATTTACATGATATAGAAAGATATGCATATATCTAGAAGGTATGTGGCATTTATTTGGTAAAATTCTCAATTCAGAGAAATCATCTGATGTTTCTGTAGTTACTTTGCCAGCTCAAAAGAAAACAGTACCCTATGTAGTTGTGGAAGTTTATGCTAATATTGTGTAATTGATATTATACTTAAATGTTCTGCCCACCCTGTTGGTATAAAGATATTTTGAGCAGACTGTAAACAAAAAAAATCATGCATTGTTAGTAAATTTACCTAGTATGTTAATTTGCTCAAAATATGTTTGGTTTTATGCACTTTGTCGCTGTTAACATCCTTCTTTTTTTCATATAGATTTCAATAATTGAGTAATTTTAGAAGCATTATTTTAGGAATGTAGTTGTAGTAAACATCTTTTTTTTTTTTTTTTATGTACAAATTTTTCATTCCTTTGCTCTTTGTGGTTGGGGTCTAACACTAACTGTATTGTTTTGTTACATCAAATAAACATCTTCTGTGGACCAGGCCCACTTTGATCAACTTTTATGTTTAAATATTGCTTCAACATCTCTAGCTCATAAAGTTGTTTCCCAATCCTTTAAGTACTTTATGAAAATTACATTGTACATTTCTACATTTATTATCATTACCCTAATGTATGTCGTGTCCCTAAATGTCATGTTAAAGAACAAACCATAATATTGCATTGTAAAGCTATGTTTTTAGAAAAGAAACTTGTCATTTATAAATTTATGAGGCTATTAAAGTGTAAAACACAAAATTTAAATTTTTTAGTATGAGTGGAATGAATGAAGCAAATCATGAAGCATAACTATGTTACACTTAGAACAAATCTTGGTTTCTTTGTTTCCATGATATTGTATTTAAAAACATTTTTTAAATAGCTTTTTTTTTTCTCTCCTGGGTTTTTCTTTTATAAAGTAGCTATATTTTACATTCTAATTTTTTTAATCAGACAGTATAGAAAGATTAAAAAAAACTTAAGAAACAGAAAAATCACTATAAATCCTTACACCTAGAGGTTACAACTTTTTGTGTATATGTGTAAGGTGCCAGGACCTTACACATGCTAAGCAAACACTCCAGTGAACTACACCTCCAGCCCTGAAAACTTAACTTTTACTGACAAATTGTTTGACCAGTGTCAGAACCTTAGTCCTGTAGCCTGAGGTGTATGCCTCTTAGATAGTTGTTTTTATCTTAGAGTACACATGTGATTACAAATACATGAAAATTTTGGAACAATAGTTCACAATGCTAATACTCTATCCAAAATTTGGAGCACAAAGTACTTCTTTTATTAGTTACAGATAGTACTAAAGGTGACATTTTAGAATTAAAGTAGTTGCTTAATATTCCCAGGTTGCAAAATAAGAACTATCCTTATTTAGCAGTTAACTTCAATCGGGAACTAGAAGTTTATGTAGCATTTTCAAATATTAATAAATGAGCAGATTATGTAATGGTCAAGAGTCTGGGAAAATGACTTAGGAGAGCAATCATTGAGAAAGGGAAGGCCATGTTAAAAAACAGTAGATGCAGGCCAGCCTGTTCTACATAGTGAGACCCTGTCTCAAAAACAAAAAACAAGTTGCACTGAAGAAAATAACTACTGCTCAGTCACTCAAAAAATTCACCTGGAGTGCTCAAAGACATTCCAAATAGAACCAGCACTTCCTTCCCAACATCGGACAACATCACAAATTTCCTTATACAAGAAGTGTAACCCTACCCTATAACTGTGTAATAACAATTCTCCATAGTGTTCCTCTCCGCCACTCAAGTATGCCTGTGCTTCCCTCTTCTCTGGTGCTGCTATGAAGAATAACTAGTACTACTTTCACCATGGAAAAAGCCGGGCAAAGGGGGTTAGCAAATTTGCTCAGAGTGCCCAGGATAAGCTTAGAACTGAAAGTACTTACCCAGAGAGCCTGCTGCTGCCAGGTACAATGCACAGCCTGAGCTCAAATGAACCTAACATCTGTTGAGTACTTTATGCTCAACTCTGAGCTAAGCATTTTTTTTGCTACCCCAGTCTTCAAAGCCCCCAGTGAATTAGTGCTTGTACCTCATTTTGTACATTTGAAAATCTGAGAGCTGGCCATCAGTGACTCCATATCCCATGGTACCAACCACCAGTGAAGTAGAACACACCCTTCCCCATTGCCAACTGTTCAAATAAAAAAGAGGAAAAAGATTGAGGATGAAGAAAATGGAGGTTGGACATCCTTTGAAAGAGATTACACATCCTTTGAAAGAGATTACACAATATGTTTAAGGGATGTCCTGAGAGGAGTGGCAAGACAGAAATGAATAAAAAGCGTTTTGAAGAGCTATTTATTGGGATTTGAGTGTGAACTAAAAATTCTGATTTCTGGATATAGAGACAATACATAGTTGTCATGCAGGTCAAAGATGTAGTGTATGGGAGGTTTTTATAGCCTCACAATCACTCCAAATTTGATTTCCTCCTACAAAGCTCTAGAAGGTTTGAAAGCTAAAATTACCAGCTTTACACAAACAAGCATTTTGAAAGTTCAAAGTCTTAATGCAGCAGTGTCAAAAACAAGTTGTGCAAAGCATAAGAAATCTTTCTTCATAACTTTAAATTTTGGTTCAATAGAATTTTTGCAAACATGTTGCTAGCTGGGACCAAAAACTATCCCAGCTAAGCTGATAGCCAGTTAAGGTTTTCAAATGTACAAAATGAGATACAAGCACTAATTCATAGGAGTCTTTGAAGACTGAGCACGCAAAATGCTTAACACATTTGTTTACTTTTGATTGGGATATTTTAAGTCTTCTGCTACCCACTTTTGCTCTTATTTCTTGCCTTTAAATAGCGCGGAACCTGTTGTCCCGTATCATTTTACTGCGATCTGAAGAATTTAATACGACTTAGTCTCTCCCTGTCCCATAAACGCGACTTCCTCCCACAAGCCTTCCTATGAACGCTTTCTGAAGCTTTGTTGTGTTCACAACTTTCAGAGGCCTGGACATAATTTATATTCTTACCTGTAATGAATGGATTTTATCCAAGTCGCTGCCCAGACACCCGATCTCCATGTGCTATTTAATTTCCTTTATTCCCTCGTCTTGGCTGCGTTCCGGGACGGAGAGGAAGACAGGTGTCTGAGCGCGGCCATGGGCAAACCCGCGGCGGGGGCACGCGGAAGGGGCCCGGCTCCCCTCCTGCTCCCGGCGCCCAGGTGCTACATGATGAGCATGCGAAAACCCAGCCACCAAGAAACTTCCCCAGGGACCGCCCCCCGCGCTGCAGGCCACGCCCCGGTACGTGCTCGGCGCAGCATCCCAGCGCGCCCCCGCCCGCGGCCGTGGCCCCGGGCCCCGCGGCTCCGAACCGTGCGCGCTGCCTCCAGCGGCTCCCGTCTACGTGTGCGAGCGCATGTGCGAGGCGTCCCTGGCCCAGCCCTGCGCTCGGCTGCTACAGGGGGTGTGGCTGTGCAGCTGTCGACAACCGGGGTGCACTGGCTAAGGCTTTGGGGTGTGACGCTGGCCTTCGTGGCACAAACTTGCCTATTTCAAATTAGTCCTCAGCTAATCTAATCAAAACCAGGAGTTGATTATAGAAATACATTCCCCTTAAAGCGCTCAAAGACTTAGTTTATTTTAAATAAAGCACTTTGAGATACGCCTAATTAAGTATATGAGAACTCTAGCTGCTCTGGGTGGTGAGTTTTTGTTTAGTTGGGTGTTTTGGGTGTTTTGTCTTTTAAGCTTTATTGTGTGCCAGCTATTGAGAATCGTTTGGGAGAAGATAATATTGTTAGACGGAAGGGGGGGTGAGTTTACGGAAAAGCTTGGGGCCTTAAATAGAAACCACTGTAATCTTAGTAACTTTGATTGCACAGTTTATTGTAAAGTACAAGGTCAGGTATTGTTTAACCTGGCCTCCGCATATTCATAGCTCACTGCGTTTTACATTTTTAAGCTGTTTCCTTCAGGAAAAATTCATTGCTTATGGGTTTTCAAACTGAATTTCATAGAAAGTAAGAGTCCATTTTTTTAAAAAGTGGCTGAGGTGTTTTAAATACTTTTTTGGTAATGAAAACTGATTTGTACTGGGGTTTTACAAGAGTTCTTACAAATACATCATCGTTGAATTCACCTCCTCCATTATTCTCTCCTGAACTAGGTGTTTAATGAGAGAAGTGCCATATAAGGAGACTGATAAAATTCTTTAGGTTTTGTGGATGCTTAAATCATTAGACTGGAGATTCTCCACCAAGGAGACCAGGCTGGGTGGAGTCCTGTAATGTTTTTCACAAAGGGCTGTGCCTTTTAAAAAGCTGGTGACTAGGATTCTGTGAAGTCAAATCTATCTTTAGAGATTTCAAAACATTAAAACACTAGGGATCACTATTTTATGTAGAGATCTTTTCCAAATACTTCCAGCTATTATTTGCTCTTTGAAATGGATTTTTTAAAATGCTTCTGTATACAATGCTATGACAAAATATTTCATAGGAGTACTAAGTAAGCCGGGGTTAGCCATTATAAATTTGCCTGGCACCTGATCTGCTGGTAGAGTACTCAGTGTGCCACAAACAAAATTCGACAGCAGCCAGCACAGCCTGGGTCAGTATTTTGCATCACCCCATGTTACTTCTTAGAGTCTTGGCAACTGCAGAGATTTGTCACCTCTCTGAATTTCCTTCTCAGTACATCTTTGACTTTCTCATTTCTCATTTTTTTTTTACCTTCTTGTGACAATGAATATGAATAACTTATCCTCCCTACTAAATTCATTTTTTTTGAAACACAGGTTTTCATCTGATTCATCCTTGGTTGTTTCAAAAGCCTTCCACTCTGCTTGCACAAAGACAACACACATGTGATTGAAGATGGAAGAGGATTTCATGTGTAACATGGGACCAGAATAGAATTCTGATCAGAGGAACAGCATGGGGAAAACAGGACTATTTTCTGGCTCTTTTAGGAGAATACATTCACTCAGTGATTAATTATGACTGAGTGCAAGATATAATAAATATCTAGAACATAGTGCCTGCCATCAAGAGTGTGGTGAATTCCCATTCTATGAGATAATCATTCATTCAACTGTAATTATGCAAATGTAACTAAAGTCTAAATAGAATTTATATTTATACAAATAGAATGTATATTAGCCATTTCAGATGTTCAACCTTTCCTTTTCATGAGTTGTCTGCAGTTTGATCCTCTAATCTATATTACCAGTCCATACTACTCACAATAGGCATGTCAAAAACTAACTCCCGGCGCTCATTTAAGCAGAACATACACCAAAATTGAGATGATACAGAGGGGACTAGCATGGTCCTTGAAAGGTCACATGCAAATTCAGATGGAGTGCAAATTCAGGGAGCATTCCATATTAAGAACAAAACAAACCAACCAACCAACAACAACAAAAAAACCATTAACTCTTTACATTTTTCCAAATGGCTCCTCCTACATCCCCTGCTGAATGAATGGCACCATTCAGTCTCAGAAACCACAATCCTAGAAGCCACTTGTCACAACACTCCCTTTCCCACCACCTCCAGTCTGGCACAGTTCTGTTTTTCTCTTAAATTTTCATGATGGAAACTTGTGCTAAAATAAAGAGAATAAGGATACCAAAGCATTTTTGCAGTTTGGGTTCTCTCAGTAGACAGAGTTGGAGTTTCCAGCTGGTTTATTAGGGAGTGTTTTTGGACCACCATTTATGGAAGGGAAGAAATAAAAGTGGGCAGAGGCAGACACCCAATCCCAACAGTGGCCTTCAGCAGCCTCACTGAGCTCTGGAACTGGGATAGAGCTTTTC